TGGGAGGGTAATATTTGGGGGGCACGACAAGGGCATTTCCGGAATTTTCCATATTTACCATTAAATAAAAAAAAACTATATTATTCTTATATATTTGTTTTCCACATTTTCTTTTACCCTTCTTTTTTTACATGGATGGTGTTGGTGTCAAGTGAAGAGTTGAAAAATCTAGTCAAAAGTAATTAAAATTAATATATCAACGTTTTTTTCATAATATAAAAATCTTTATGGATTTATTTTGGAATCACTGTTTGTTTTGTTTTTCCCCCTTCTTTTGGTTAAAAATAATAATTTCCAAACATATAAGAAAATATATTCATTGAACAATGTTTGATTCGTAGATTTATCGTGTTTAAATTTAAACCAAAGTTAGGAAGTCTTGGTAAAGAAACTAATTTATGAAAATAAATTTGAATTTATATCGTTTAAAGTTTTGCTCATAAATAAATACAAGGTTATAATTATGAACTATACAAATTTTATGGAGTGAAAAAATATCAAAGAAAATAAATTGTGTTTGAGGTTCAAGGTTTTCAACTCAATCTCATACTTAAAAACAAAAATTCTCACATCACCATGAGTTATGAGCATTAAATGTAAGTACTTATTTTTCGATAAGGTAGGATGGAGAATGTATTTAACACTCGGCTTTGTTAATAAATTCAAATTTTATATTAATATTGTTTTTTTAGTACAGTGATGTATATATTCATTGATATTTATGTACATATATTTCCCGACATAATATGTTGCATAACTTTAAATATTCAAATTAATAAAATATATCTTTATTTAATTACTTTTTAGTTGTAGATAAGTAATATTTTGTAACGGTATTTGAGGATGCAGATTAATATAGAAGAAGAGATAAGGAGATAGGAATGTAATAATTAATTATAAGAGACGTTGATAGTGTATTAAATAATTAAGATTATCTGAACGTAGGAGCATATTATTTTAAATCTGAATTTTATAATAAGATTTGAGCCTGTAATTTCATAGAAATAAACACATTTTTTAAATCAATATTTTTTTTCTTTATTGAGTTTTACAGTGGGCGCTCGAGTAGGGAATGTTCTAGATTGCGCACTGCAAGGAAAAAGAACAGGCACATATAGGGAAATTTAGTACTTTGGAGAACAACGAAATTTTTTTTCAAAGTAGAATCTTGACTTCATGGGGCCTCGAGAACTGGTTATTTTTCTCAAGGCCCTTGAGATTTTATATAATTACAAACTCAAAGCCGAACGGAGTTTTATTTTTTAAATACATTACGAGAGTAGATATTCAAACTCGCGATCTTTTAAACAATGTTTCAAATGTCGATGTTGATGGAAATGTCGATGTCTCTAAAAGGTAAAATGTTAAAAGTCTTCTGGTTCATAATTTAACTAAAAAAAATAAGGCATTAATAAATGTAGAGGTAAATATTAAGCAACCAAAGCAAAAAATAATCACCCCATCCATGTCATAAAAAGAAAAAAAAAAAGATATTTAACAATTTCATATTAAAAAAGATATTCAATCATTTTTGCATTTAACTTAAATTGTTAAGGAAACGTTTGAATGCAAAAACGAGTAAACCAAATTTAAACCAAAATTTTAAGACACATTTGATAATCATTTTATTTCTAAAATCCCGTTTTTTAAAAATAATCTTACAAACACTATTTTTAATTTTTGTTTCTTTGTTTTATTATCTAATTTTTAAAATCTAAGTCAAATAAAAAAAACAGTTTATAATAAATGGACCCTTAACAAACAAAAGGATTCAAATTATTGGAGAATTAGAACTAGAATAGCGAGCTGCATTATGCCTAAACTCATAATATAGAACCTGCACCAAATGCAATCAACATGGTGGAAAAAGAAAACTACTTTTGAACAACAAGAATGCTCTTCAGTTTTCCATGGCAAACAAATTGATTATGTCTAATTTAAAGGTTAAAGGAGGCTTGAGCAAAATCATTAGATCGAAAAAGGAAAAAAGAAAAAGAAAGTTGCAGAAGACAGTGTTGTCCACAAGGATACCAGGCATTTGATTAAATCACAATGATCATAATCAGTTAATCAAGTTCATTAATCTGCATTCAAAATATACATGAGTTCATCAACCTGATTTGAATAGTAAAACTGCTTTCTGATCCAAGTAGAAGTAAACAAAGTGGTTTGTCTCGTGTGTCACGTATGAACCTGCCATGGAAACAATGCAAGCTCAAAATTCAGGAACGACGGAGCTAAATTCTGTTTGATGACTATTTTGTTTTTAGTTTATATTTTTTTTTAAACAAAGCTTATCAGTTATAAATACTGCATTTATATATGTGCTTCTTTGTTTTGTTGTCTATTTCTCAAAAATGCTTTCAAAATCTAACTCTTGAGTTTTGAAAACTAATGAAAAATAGTTTTTAAAATCTTGTTTTTATTTTCCAAATTTCATGAAGATTTCAAATGTGTTTATAAGGAAGGTAAATAACGTATCAAAGAAACTGTGAAAAAACAATTTCTTGTATAACTAAACAAATTTTGAATGAAAGAGGTTTCCTATTATCGGTTAATGTCTATTCATTTCAATCACCACTACAAGATAAAGATGTCTTAACCATCAAACTATACTCAGGTCCCATGTATCTCCTCGGCATTAAGAACATTCTTAAGCAATCACTTGATGGTTATTGCACGAGGATGGAAAAGTATCCTTCTCATGAGTTAGAAGCAGGGTCTCCATGAGAACAATTTGGTGCGTTTAGTCAGTAGTTGAAAGTTTTGGAATGAAGAGTAAATCAGATTACTCTGCATTCTACAAACAGCATTCAACTAGCGATATGTGGAGAGGTTTCAAGAAATCTGAAGAAATCCTCTCGTTTTTTTTTCTTGTTCAGTGTTCACTGAATTTTGGGATGTCTAGTCTAAATTTCAGCAAGCATTCTCAAGGGACCTGGATATGATTTGATTGGCAAGAACTGAAAGCAATTTGTAAGAATTTTCAGACCTTCTAAATTATTTTTTTTGATATAAGAAATCAAACTTTTCATTGAGAATAATGAAAACAAAACGGATGTACACGGGCATACAAAAACAAAACCCTAAAGAGGGAAGCCAAACTAAAGAAAGGGCCTCCAATCCAAAAGAATATGACCTAACTGATAGTTACAAAACAATTTCGAAACAGACCTTCTAAATTATTTCGACCCCATTTGAGAACCATTTCATTTTTAGTTTTATGTTTTTAAAAAGTATGTTTGTTTTTGTATAATTTTTAGTTAGTTTTTCACTCATCTTGAAAATATATTTCAATTCTTAGCCAAAATTTTTTAAAATAAAAGTTTTTTGGTAAATGACCATCATGGGTTCGAACTCATTCCCTCTAATTTTACCCTAGTCCATTTCAACCAACAAGCCACCTATGATGGTTAATCTAAGCTAAATTTTGAAAACTAAAATACAGTAGTTTTGAAAATCTTGTTTTTGTTTTTAAAATTTGGCAAAAAATTCAAATGCATTTTTAATGAAGGTAAAAAACATAACAAAGAAATTGTAGAAATCAAGCATAGTTTTTAAAAACCAAAAAAAAAACCTAAAACAATGTTGTTATCAAACCGGGCGTTCATTACAAAGAACAAATAAACGTGCTACACAAACTCGACCAAAGTTGGATACTGATTAGACTCTCCCTCACTTCCTGGAACAAGAAGGCCCCTCCTCCATTAGTTTGCTTCACTTTCATTCATTAGGTTACCAACCAAGAACACAGAACAAAAGCTTTGAAAGAAACCTTAATCCAACCTACCATGGAATCAGCTTAAAAAGGGTTAAGAGGTTCTTCTGTTCAAGAGTGATATGTTCCAGAAGAGCCAATGAGTTCAGTTACTTTCTATTTTGACAAATTTGGCCCACCTACTTATACCTCGACTAATCTCGAAACCGAACACTATCAAAGACACTAATATTGATCACCAGGTTTAAGAGAGCAGATTTCACCAAAAAAAAAAGAAAAAAAAACTAAAATCAGAAGAAAGAATGAAAGGGGAAAACAAAAATCATGGTTCTTGTGAGAGTTAGCTACCCTTTACAGTTCTAAATCAGCTGAATCCAATGGAATATATCTAGTGGAAGGACCTCCTGTTTGTCAAATGCGGGTGAATAATAGAATATCCACAATCTAACAGCTCATTTTTCTACTCAACTAGTTTAACCAGATCAAACATTTTTTAACAAGCAACCTACAATACAAGCCTAGATTCATGCCATTCAGAATGTTTAAGCATCACCATCACCACCAAACTGGAAACCATAAGACAGATTTTCAAGCAGTTAAATCACAAAATTTTCAGTTGAAATTTCAGAGAGAGAGAGAGAGAGAGAGAGAGAGATGAGTTACCAAAATTACGGCCGACAATGCAATGCCAGGTTGGTCCATGCCTCTTATCGAACTCTTTCTTAATATACTCCGCTACATCCTTCTCTACACTATGCTTTTCAAATGCCTGATGCCGAAATCCCCAACAGAAGAACGACAGTTTCAAAAATGAAATTCGAAGTCACAATTAGCAATCAGCAAAAATAAAAGAAAAATAGGGCTAGAGGAAGAGAGCTTACAGCTATGGCGACATCGACGGCCTCCTTCTGCACATCTCCGAACATATCGGCACTCTTTATGACGACTTTCTTGCCGGTATTCGCCACCGCCGACGGTTTCCGATCTTCCGATACAGATTTCACCATCATATTGCTTTTCTTCGCATCGTTGCTCATTTTTCCAATTCTTCTCCGGTGCCGATCCGGTAGTTGGAAGCTCCGACGAGAAGGCGATGAAGTCGACGGAGGAGCTCTTTGGCAATCTCTGCGCCTCTTTTTCCTTTTCAGTGATTTGATTTCACTGATCCTTTGACTGGAAATTGTAAACGAAACTCGTGATTTCTCAGAATCTGAGAGGATAAAAAGATTTAACTTTTTCTTTTTATTTCCTTTCTGGAATTTGTAACCGCTTTTGCAATCTGTCTCCAATCGAGCCGTCGGTGAATGTAAAAAATTTTGTTGTCCGCTCCAGCTGGCAATACGCCGTCGTTTTGACACTTCCTAGAGTTTATTTTGCAGCAGAACGAACAACGAAGAGCCGTGTTCTACTGCTCTTCCAAACTTAGCGTTCGTCCCTCTCANAAAAAAAAATTAAATAAAATAATAATAATAATAATGAATGAAAAAATAAAGAGAGGAATCAGGACCATATATTGTGAATAAAGACAGTCTTTAACTGTTAAAAAGAAAAAAAAACTCGTTTAAGAAATAAATCTTTTTTTGTTTTGTTTTTTAATATAAGGGTAGGGATCGAACTCGCAAGCTCATAATTGGAAATATATGTTAATTACCGCGAATTATGTTCACTTTGACGTTTAAGAAATAAAATTTAATCAGATAAATTAATGAAATACATACCAATATGAATATAGTTGGGTGATCAAATCATATCAGACATTTATGACTCGTTTAGTAAAGTTCTTGTTTCGTTTCTTTCTTTTTAATGAAGAAAAATGTATTGCATGGTTTCAACCTTTAAAATTCAAGATAAAACAATTTTTTTATTTATGTTTTGGAACAAATTGGAAATGAGAAACTTGTTTTGATTGTTTCAAAACTTTCTATATAAGAATGTTCCCAAAAAATGATAAACAAGAAACAAAGTTAGTTGTAAAATACTCAGATTTTTCAAAAAATTGAAAACGAGAAACAATAAATTGAAAGGTTACCAAACGAATGCTTAATTTTCAATTTCCATATTTGTTGCTGAAAAACAATAATAAAATAACAAAATGTACGTCATTTTATATTCTCCTTAAATTGTTTATATTAAGAAAATAATAATAGCAAGTTTTTGGTTAGTCTGGTAACTAAAGTGATAATTTGACTTATTTGACTTAATCGTCGAAGTGCATCAATCTTTACCATGCTCTATTTTATTCTTTTAATATAATATGTGGCGATAAATATTTGAATTCAGAATTTTTTAGTCATAAAGAAGTGGCTTGACCAATTGAAATTATGCTCATATTTTGCTAATATGCTTTATTTTACCTATGAGATTGAGACTTATTTATGATTCACTAAATTCACCGTTTTCATGTCTTCATAATATTATATCAAGTGCTATTTTAGAAATTATAAAAACACTCCAAAGAAAAAAAATATATACATAAAAAAAAAATATATATATATATATATATTATTCTAAAGCACTCTATATATTTTTTTTTTTACTGTTAACTTGTAACACCCGTGTCGAGAAGAGGGGTACATAGCCTACGATTTTTTTCCACTAGTCATGGCTTTGACCGAAAATTTTGGCACTAAGTCTTCCAAGCCCACAAATCGTGACATCGTATTAGATTGTATTATTTAAAGTTACAGTCTAAATTAAGACCACATCCGAAGAAACATTAGACGGGTTAAAGTTCTTATGGTCTTGGGACTCTTCCAATTTTTTGAGATCTTCCGTAGGTATATACCCAAACTCAAAAAGTGGCTCAATTGTCAAAGCCTCCATCCATATAGTGTTTCTTCCAAGTAGCTAGGTTGTTCCTTTTGTGTCCTACTACTCTCCCCCTTCTTTCTTTCAGATAAGAAACACTTATATGCAAGAAGCATGGTTGGATTGGTTGCAACCACACTTACTCTTATGAAATCCCAAGATAACATTTTGGAACTTCAAAAAACAAAAAAAATGCAGGATGCATGATGAGAAGAAGCCTTTTACATGTTCTCAGTTACTGATCAAATGGCATTCTGTTCATATCTTTAAGCACCACATTCGACTAAGAAAATCTTAAGATCATACAAGCAGGATCAAGAAAAGCTTAAAATGATATGATAGTACTACATATACCAACAATATGCGGGTTTTTTTTATTGCTCGATTGTAAGAATTCGAAAGTTTAGTATACTTGGCTTGAAGTAGCAGGTACGTTTGTAGGAGATGCATTAAATATCGGGAACATGAGGTGCAAAATTTGGATTTCAAATCCTAATCCAAATTCATTTATAAAGAATACACAAAACTAGCTGAAAGTATTTGTTATGGAGAACGAAAATGACCCGAAACGAGACAAGAAGTTGAAGTCTGATTGGGGAATACCGGCCCGGGACATAACGGGCCGGCCAAAAGAGTGACCTAACGCCGGGGCAGAGAACGAGGAAAGCGACCAGAGGGAAGCCCACTGAGCCACGAAGGGCTCGGCCCCGACCCGGTGCTCGGCCCCGACCCGGTGCTCGGCCCCGACCCGGTGCTCGGCCCCGACCCGGTGCTCGGTCCCGACCCGGGGCTCGGTCCCGAGCCGTGCTCGGCCCACGGCCCAGCCAGTGATCCCCCGTCTTCGATCGACGATGTCGCCCAGGCCCTGCAACGGTGAATTAGGGTTAGCTACGGAAGATTCTGGAACAACTTCACGCTATAAGTATTGATCCAGCCTTAGAGGTATAGGGGGAACAGAGTTGACTACATTTACGTT